GGGCAGGTGCCAGCAGTGGTGCCCCGCATTCTTCCTAGGGCCAGCTGTGGTATGGAAGGGATCCAGAAGCCTTCCTAAGCTCAAACTGAGGGTGAAGAAGAGAGCTAGGCTGAGAGCCAGGGGCCTGAGTGGGACTGCCATGGAGCTGTGGGGTGGCCAGCCTGAGCCAAGGGATGGACAGGGTGTGCATGAGGGACAGAGTGTTCTCAGCCCCCGAGGGAGCCGCGGTGGTTCCAGTCAGCTGGTGGCCCGGCCCTGACCCGGCCTGCATACAATAGAACGGCCGTCCCTCCAGCTGTGGTTTTAGCTCAGGTGCCCAAAGGCCAGGCCACGGAGACCCCAGAAAACCCCAAGTAGATGAGAGGCTGTGTCCCCCTCAGGCTGTTGCTTAGCTGCCATCTTGACTGTAAGGATGGGGGTAGGGAGATCTCTGAAAAAAGCACTTCCCAAAGGAATTAAGTTTACGCAAAACTAAACCTGGAGTTAGTTTACGATAGGTGGCAAATTTCAGTTCCTCTCAGCCCTGGGCAACCTCCCCCTCATGCAACCTTCCAGAGGTTTGGGACCTGGGAAACAAGATGACGTGAGTTAGAAAAGTGAAGAGAAATCTAAATAGAACTCCTGGAGAAGGGTTCACAGAGGAGCCTCCTCATTTGGAGACTTGAGATGTGGGCTGGTACTTAACTGATGTGCCTTCATCAGATGCATGTGTTACATGGGGAGCAAGAGATTTATTTTGGGGGGTGGGGGAGGTTCTAACTAGATTTATTTATTCATTTCTTTTTAGAGGAGCTCCTGGGGATTGAACTCAGGACCTTGTGCATGTTAAGCACACACTCTACTACTTGAGCTACACCCTCCCCTCTAAGAGTTTCTGTTTTGAGAATGAAGAATGACTTCATGCTTAGTCGTTCATGGCTATGATCCAATAGAAGAAGAAGAGGATGCAGAAGAGAAGGGAAATTTTCTGGACCCATGTCCTTAAGCAGGGGAGAGAAGATGGGACCTAGTGGGCAAGTGAGTGGGTTGGCTTTTGAGAGTGATGGACGATTGACTTCTAGATATGGAATGGAAGGCTTGGGACACAGTGTGGTTGTAGATGGTTGGTATTAGAGCTTGGGGAAGTTCTTTTTTTTTAAGTTATTTTCTAATTGCTTCTATTTCTCAGTGAAAAAGGAATCAAGGTCATTGGCTGAGAGTTTGGAAGAACTTTTAGAGGTTTATGGATAGCGGACAAAGTATGACCAAGTTATTTGAGTGGCAGAGAGGATGGACTCGGGACACAGACCAGGCCTCTGGACAACACAAGGGCCCACTTGAGGCTGTTGCCAAGTTAATATAACAAAGCAAGAGATGGGCATGTGGATTAAGAGTGGGTGTCAGCAAATGGTTGTAAAGATGGACCATAGAACAGACGACGTTCTCATTATTCCTGGAAAAGCAATGCACCCCTAGAATTCTCAGATGGGGACCCCAGGAGTTTCCAGTTCCAAACATGAAGGCCAGCCTGTACCCAGCCTGGAAGCCTCGTCTTACCAGCTGAGTGGCAGGTTTCTGTGGCCTGCTCCTAACCTCCTCTTCTTCCCCCTAGACAGGTGTCCAGGGCCTTTTCGACGTCTCCTCATGCTGTTCTTTTTTTCCACTTAATGTTCCAGGAAAATATTTTGATCACTTGTTGTACCTGTGGGACCACAGCACCATGCTGTGGACCTCCAGGCTGATACAGGCAGTGGTTAGGGGAGGAAGCAGGCAGCCGAGACTCTGAGGGCCACAATCTGACCCTCCAAGGGCTGGAGATTTAACCCAGTCTGTGTTGAGCACAGCCACAAGCCTCCCTGGGCTGGAGTTTCCCAGCCCTTCCAGCCCTGGGCAACCTCTCAGCGCCCAGGGAGGGAGCGTGGAGCTCACCCCATCTAAGTCTCTCCTGTACATCCATGGCTGGTTTGAGAGGAGCCGACAATTGAACTCTTCCTCAGGCCTTTGTGGAATCCTTCTGTGACCCGACAATAGTCACACGAATTCTCATTCCTGAGCAGAATGGACTTGAAGTGCAGGACAGAGGGTCAGACCAGGATGGGGGCAGCAAGGGTCAGGGCTGCCCGGCCTGAGCGGGGAACTCCAGCCCAGGATGGAATGTGGCCCTGGGGCACCACAGCATGGCCTCAGGACACTCCCTTCCCACTTCACATTCCCACATCCCACGTCTGCACAGGAGCGTGGCTGCCCTCACCCCAAGTGGCACGTGGGAGGAGTTTGGGACAGATTCTCTCACGACCCTTCTCAGTGCGCTCCCTCCAGGGAAGCCCATAGAGATGGGCCTGTGTTAGTTCAGGTCCTCCAAGAAGAGGCTTCATTTGTGCAAGAGACTTATTGAGAGAAACACCTGTGAATGAAAACAGGGAGCAGGAATAGGAGGGAGAGCCTTCAGATAGTAATGCCGTTGGAATACCTGTAAAAGGAGATGGAGGAGGATGAGGGATGAGGAAGGCAGAGCCTCAGTCTGCAGCACAGTTCCAAGAAGATTCCAGCCTGGCTGATGAGGAGTCCTGGCACCAAAGTTGCCCAGTAGAGGAACCCCACATCCCTCAGGAATGGGCCAGCCCTAGTACCCCAGCGTGTCAGTCATTGGCCGTGTTGGCACGAACACAGTGGTGGTCACAGAGGGTGGTTGCTAGGGCTGTCAGTGACCTGTGCCCCCTGTAGCTCATTCTCTCCTTTTTAAATTTTTTAAACTGAACTATAGTTGATTTACAATGTTGTGTTAGTTTCTGGTGTACAGCATACTGAAGCAGCTATACATTTATACATATTCTTTTCTATTGCGGGTTATTACAAGCTATTGCATGTAATTCCCTGTGCTATACTGTAGGACCTTGTCATTTATCTATTCTGTACATAGTAGTTTGTATCTGCTGATCCCAAACTCCCATTTTATCCCTCCCGCCTTTCCCCTCTGGTAACCATAAGCTTTCTACGTCTGTGATTCTCTTTCTGTTCTGTGAGTGCCTTCTCCACCAGCTCTGCAAGGGCCACGTACAGACTGAGATACAGGGAGAGGAGGCAGGAACTTCCAGTATGACGGTGACGGGGGGTCCTCTGCCGGAAGAGCCACCTGAGCCGAGCTGACCCTCCCTGGCTGGTGAACCAGGACTAAGCAGAGGTTTGGGCGGGGTTGTTGAAAAACGGGTGGCCCTGCACCACAGGCAAGCAGTTTTCTCCCTGCACCAGTCCACCAAACAAACAGGCTTCAGAACAATTCTGCATGCCCAGCCTGCTCTTTAGCTGCTGTTTTCCCCACCCATCCCATTCCTGCAGCCTTGGGCTCCTCCCAGCCCATAGCAGGTACTTCCACCTGCTAATGGGTGATGTCCTCTGGGGCAGCTGGAAATATCAGGACCTCAGGCTGGCACGAGCTCTGGTGGCAAATCCTTGGCTATATTGTCCCTCAATGAAAGGGGATCTTGGGTCCCGGGACCCCACACTGCCTCTCACTCCTGGATTCCCTGGGGTCAGTGTGACCCCACAGCAGGTCTTCTCTGGGAATTCCAATGGGAAGCTGCTTGTCTAGATGCAGCTCAGGACTAGATTTCCAGAATCAAGGCTCCACAAGCCAGGCACAGTCAGGCAATGAGAGGAGCCTCAAGATAGTGGCCCCATCACATGTAAGCCTATATGGGACATCAGGGGAAACCTGAGAAGGCAGCCTGCCTGCAGTAGTTCTTGCTCAGAGGAAGGCACAGATCAGGAAAGAGGGGTGACAAAGTATCTAGGGCAAAGGGCATAGGGGCTTCTACTGAACATGAAACCCTGCAGGTGCCCCTGGGGGCCACTCGCCAGCCTGGTGAGGGCAGGGAGAGGGGCTTGTGTGGACGCTGTGGCCTCAGTTGTTGATCCTAGCAGGTAATGCAAGAATGTTGCAGCTGAGGAAGGCCAGGTGGTCTCTTAAGCCTGTACTCCCCCTGCCTTCACCCACAGCATGCCCGTGCAGTGACAGCGTTGACTTGGCACGCTGGGGTAAGTGGACCAGCCTGCAGGGAGCTGGAGGAGAGCGGCCAAGAGGGATCCAAATGCCCCAGGCCCTTCCAGCCACCTTGAGGGCTGAGGAACTCTGTCTCTTATTCAGGGATATCAGGGAACAGTAGCCACTGGCTGGTAAGCCCTGCCCCTCCCCTCCTGCCTGTGTTCCAGCTCTACTCCAAGCCCAGATCTTGACAAATATACCTGCTCCCTGGGTGTTGGCAGCAATAATCCCACAGGAATTGGGCCTTGAATCTGCCCAGCCCAGCAAGGCAGGGATCTGTGAGATCAGGGTCCCACCCTCTGGGTAGCTCCCACCCCAAGGGCTTTTTCCTCACCTCTTGGAGGTCAGCCAGCACCACCAAAGCACATGCATGTACACACAGGGTGCACACGAAGGTGGAACACCTCCTCCTAGGCCAGGAGGAGGGAGAGAGATGAGAAAGAACCATGGGGCAAAGACAAGGAGTGAGTCCTGTCCAAGGTCCCCAGAAGTCCAGGTCTTCCCCTAGTCTAGGGGAAGCTTGGGGCCAGGGGACAGGTCACCCTGGCCAGCATCCCCAGCCAGCCCTACCCCCAGCAATGTGGCAGCAACAAGCTCAGGTCTGAACCAGGTTGCTCTGAATGCACCTGGCAGGACACAGGGAATGGTGAGGACCAAATCATGCAGGAGCAGCCAAGAGGCCACTTCTCTGCAGCTCAGAGCAGTCAGTACCCTATGTAACAGAACAGCCAACAGGTACTGAGAGCCACCGGGCTCAGGATGTCACCTCGTCTCAGGTCATGCTCACAACACCCTGTGAGTGACCTCTGAGAGCCTTAGTGAGGCCAGCAGCCCTCAGATCAAGAGGCTCCTCACCTTGCATGTGTCAGAGTCAACTGGTTTCATGGAAGAGTGAACATTCATTCAGACTGATGGTACATTTGGGGACTAAAAAGCACACTGGTGATCAAAAAACTCAGATATTATTAATAGAATACAATTTTATGCAACAATAATACCTAACATTTTTATTAAAATATACAATTGCTAATTTAACCAAAATTATTTCTTAAAAAGACAAGTTCAGAAAATTTACTATACAACTGAAAATTGTTCATTTTAAATATTGGGGGGTGATTTCAGCCTGCCCTCTGCCTTTCATCTAGAAACTGGAATTCTCCTTTGTAACATTTTACTCACTCTATCCCCAATGCCAAACCCATTAGATTAATGATGGAAAAGATATAAATGTAGATTAATAAATTTTAACATCACTTCAAGGCTCTGCCCAGTCTCTGGAACTGCAAGCCCTTCCTCCTCCTTCCCAAGTCCCACACCGCCACCTGAAGGCTGACATTGCCATTGCGTGGCCAGTGACGTGACCAGGAGCCATAGCCCAGGGCTGGTATGGAACCCGCTCCGAGATAAGATGACAACCAAGAATTACCAAATATATAAAGAAGGCACATCCCATAAGGAGAAGCAACAAAAGAAATCATTTCCTACCCCAAGGACACAAAAAAAGGCAATAAAATCTGAGTAAATGTAAGTTTCAACCAAGAATTCTACCCTCATCCAGACTATTATTCATAAGTGACGGCAAGAAAAAGACAATTCCAGACACAGAAGGACTCAGAACATTTACATCCCACAGATCCTCTACTATAGAACTGTTTAATTTTGCACTCTAATAGCAACAACAAAAAGAGCCCCCAAAGAAGACAGGAGGTCAAAAGATAAAGGCCATAAAAGACTTACAAAACCAGCTAATCAGCCAGCCCATCTCAAGAGCAACTGTCCCTGATGAGGAGGCAGGAGAGGACCAAGCTGCTCACGCTCGGGGCTGGCCGAAAGCACCGGCCCTTTTGAGGCCCAGCTCCCTCAGCTCTCCTGGCCCATGTCCACCTGGAGGCTGGGGGTCCCAGGCCAAGCTGGGGGCACAGGCTGGGATCTAGATACCTTCCTCCCACGAGGAGCCAGACCGAGAGTCTTCTTCCCACAGTCAGGACGGTGAGACTTCGTCACATTGGTGTCCCCAGTTAGAAGACGAACTGTGACTTTGGGCCTGGAGACCATGCGTGTGTGTGTGTGTGTGTGTGTGTGTGTGTGTGAGAGAGAGAGAGAGAGAGAGAGGGAGGGAGGGAGGTGGGGCAGGGTGTGGAGAGGGAGGGAGAGAGCCAGGGGCTGCAGCCAAAGAGCACTCCTGGGGGAGGGGGAAGCAGGAGCAAGTGTCCACTGAAGAGGCCCAGGCGGCTCAGCACTGGGTGGGGCGGGGTGAGCAGAAGGAGGCTGCAGAGGCCCACGGCCAGAGGGACGGGACCTGAAGACCCCCGCACCAAGCCTAGCCAGAGTGGATTTCCTCTCCACAGACCTGAAATCTGCTCATGCTGGAGAGGCTCCAGATATTTGGATGGTTCCTGGTGGGTCAGAAGAAATGATAAACAGGGAGAGAGAGAGAGAGAGAGAGAGAGAGAGAGAGAGAGAGAGAGAGA